GATTAATTAATAATTTAAATTAAATACATTGAAATTTCATCGTGACTGTGGTTCTGGAAAATAACAAAACAGAAAAAAAACGTGCATAATCTATATATTTCTCTTACCAAAAAAGTTAAGGGTATTTGAATTGGCAACATTATAATTTAATTCCTTTTGTTAGGTAGTCTTAAGTGATAGTTTAAGTTGTGTAAAATAATAAGTTTAATACGTTAAGTATTTATTTAGAATAAATTTGTACTTCGTAATAGTTTACAATAGGGGACTCCTCTTATTTTTGGCAATTTATTGACGACGGTTTTGAACAAAAAATTAATCTATTCTTGTTATGCTTTTTAGATTTTTTTTAAACTAATGGCAAAAAAAATAACGATTTTGAAACTGACTTAACATATCAATAAAAATAATAATAGAACCAATCGCATAACGATAATAAAAATTTCGATAACCCGAAAGTGATGTCAAAGAAAGCGAAGATCATTATGGTAACCAGAAACGAGGTTTCAGCAAAATTGCAAACCAAGTGGCCTTCGATTCTACACTAGGACCTTGCATTTTTATATACATAAATTCTTAGTCACGATGTCATTATTTAGATTTATTTTTAATCTTTTCTAAAAGAGCTGTACAAAATTTAAACAAAAACGGTGCTATGGTGCCGCATACCGTTATATCAATTATTGGGGGCGATATGCGCACCGTAGCACCACACTCAAGTAATGGCTCGAGAGGTGCTTGAGGAAGTGGTAAAGCACGTAAAGCAACATTGGGAGGGGTTTTCTTTCTTATCTTACGGCAGGTATGGAAATAATTTTAACACTTCTGCTGCCTACAGTGCTGAAATGTCTTGAAATCATACTTTTGGTAGTTTGTGTGACTTAATGGCTGCAGGACAGATTTTAAATTATTACTAAAATTCAATTCATAGAGAACTTTGACAATAACGTGCACATCTCTTGAAAATAGTTAAAACTTAAATCAAAGTACTTCCACCTGAGCAAAGCCGTGGGAAACAGCTAGTTAGACATATTTTTATATTAGCTCTTCTGTAGTGACTTAGAGCATATAATGGAGCAAATAAAATACGTATTCATAGTTACTTCTAAAACTAAGCATTAAATGTTTTAAGGTATGGAGCTTCAGCTTATTATATCAGAAGGTCAGATAAATGAATTAAGAGAAATATCACGAGCTATGCATTTTGCTCAATATTTTAAGCAAATAAATTTATCAATTGAAGGAGATAACAGTCAGTTTTAACGTAGGTTACTAAGTCAACTTGTTAATATTATGCAAGAAATTTAAATAAAAATGCAGTAGAATGTATTGATTTTATACTTTTTGTTATTCTCTGAAACAGATGATTGTGACATATGATTACATTTATCTACTAAAACTCTACAGTACTAGAGTAAGAGTAATAGCAATTCTCAAAGTATCCTCCAATTGCTGATCTATCGAACGGGTTCTTGAAATTTGTGTTATTATTTGATGAATCAGTCCTTTGTGTTTTATCATTTAAATCTTAATAAAACATTGAACATACATCTTTTTATAACAACTTTTTTATAAGCATCAGCCATGAATTGTCATTCCATGGCGTGTTTCATTTTTTTAATCACACTGTTGTTGCTGACACTAAAATATCATTGGTGGACCACTATTGCCAAGCACGATATACGGAGAAAAACCTCCATTTTGAGGTTAACAATTCTAATGCAAAAATGAAGAAAATACAACTTTTATATTTTCCATATAATATAAATGGCTTTCATATTTTACATACCTTAGAATCTGTAACTGAAGAATAATTTGTATCTTAAATCACAACGTTTTACTTTCATGTAGTACCTATTAGGTGAAGATATAAAAAAAATACTTTTTTTTAGAAAACGATTACAAAAATGGCAGATTTTTGCAATCGTTTTCTAATTTAACTTTTGCAACAAAATAACTTTATGGATAAAGTATTTTAGGGTTAGTATTTTTTTTTTTTTTTTTTTTTAAATNTTTTTTTTTTTTTTGAGTTCAGACAAAATCTAATTAAGGAGAAAAATAATTCCATACGAAATCTGTCAATAACTTAAGATAAAATGCATGCATTCGAAATAAATTTCTGAAAATAAACTTCTTCTAAAATAAGCGTTTATCGATTTACATAACATTTGGCAAAACTGATGCCACAACAAAATAAATGAATGCTAAAATTGCTTTTCTTCGAGATTGCAAAAAAAAAGTATGATCGATAACGGAAGTATTTCTTTTCAGTTCGAATTTACTTTCTTTTTTGAGAAAATTACTATTGTAATGAATAAATAAAGACTAGGTTTACAGAGAGAATTATTTTTTATAATGTGCCGAATTGAATAAATTGAGTAAATTCTACAATGGTATATTTATCAACCAGTTAACAGATTAAGTTTTATACAAAACTCTTTCCATTTTTATGTTAAAAGTAAAAGATTTAAATACTTACTTTTAACATTAATGTATCTTACAATACATTAATTCAATATATTTTAACACGATCCTTTGTAATAAAAATACTTATAAGACAAATTACACATAATTATATATCATAACTGCGAAATTTTTCACGAAATTTATTTTAACTCAAAAATTAAAAGCCTTTTAAAACTATAAATTAATATAACAGATTTAGTTTTTCTGTTGTTATTATGATTAATATTCACTTGTATGGCTTGTTAGTAAACAGCATTGAGACATAATAGCAGCCTCAATATGGCATAAGGACGATTATGCCATATGAAACCCATCGCAATATTTTTTTTCTTCCAAAATAATATTCCACCTTATTCCATCTTTAATATTCCACCACCAATGTTTTTATCGATAGAACAGTATGCGGAAGTTGTCACAGAAAAAAGAAACAAAACAAGTATCTTTTCAAAAATTATCGTTCTAAAAATAATCTTAAAACGTTTGCAAAGCTTTACAGATAAGGTAGGTATCTAATTTATGAAACAGTCTTGATTTTATCAACAACATTTTTACAAATGTGTTATGCAACGTTTATTTACATTTGTATTTTTATCTGTACTTCATACTTATTATATTTGTATTTTTATCTGTGCTACATTCATCGTATTTAATCTGAATGTATTTAAATTTTCACCACTGAATCACTTTCTGAAATCATTGCGTTATTAATGAAAACTAAATATTTACAAATAAGATAAGGAAGGAAGCTGATTATTTTTGCATTTGGAACTGCTTTTAAAAGACTCTGTTCTCACAGGAAATACCCTCTTTTGCAAATAATAAGTTATTTTCATAATTTCTGTGAGTTTGTGCCAGATAGTCAAAACTCTGAAGTTTAGCTAGCGTCCCTAAGTTAATTCTTAAAATGGGACAAACATTAATATAAAGAAAATCCACAGATTTGAGAAAATGAAAAGCATTTATTGTTTAGTATTTTAACATTTAAAAAGCTACTTAATCATTACTCCTAAAAATTTGCAGGAATTGAGAATTGATTGATTTTGATAATTTTTATCCAGGTTGAAAAATCTCGCCAAATTGGTGATTTTTGATTGGTGAAAAAGTTTAATAACTTTTAAAATATGTAAGTTCTTTGTTCGCTTTAAAACCCAGATAGTTTTTTACAGCAAGATGGTATATAGCTTGAAATTATAGTCCCCCCCCCTTTAAGTGTAAGACACTTAAACCGTGGCTTTTTTTATTTTTCCGTAGAGTTTTGAAAAACACAGTTAAAGCTTTTAGGTATTATTTCTCGAAAAACAGACTCAAAAACAATTTCTAAACTAAATGTGGAAACTGAATACAGCACAGTTATTCTGATCATTTAAAATAAATTTTGTAAACTATTGACCTTTTAAGGAAATTTCGCGAGCCTCGTGCTCAAAAGACAATATTTTAGAGCTCTTACGACACTTTCATATCCCCCTTCTGATTTATGTTTATTCTTCGAAGGCGTCATATGAAATAACGGCTTTTAGTAAATAATGTGCTAATTTCATAATTATAGGGAGTTTGTAGCAGTTATTCGTTTTTCATGATTGTTAGGCAATATTTTGTCCCTCCTTAGCCAGTGTTCTCAACTTAATATTTAAAGGTATTCCCCTCCTAATGAGGTTACCAAGGTTCGAATCGAAGTTGTAGTTGTGGTTGGTTGATACGCATTCTGCTCTCGACTCGCACCAACCAAAGTGCTGACTTAAAATATCGTCAGTGGTAGACGAAGCGTAGAGAGTCTCCTGGCCGTCGGGCTAACCGTGAGAGGTTTTCCTCACCGTATCTCGTATCTCAAATGTGGTTTAGTTCCATCCTCCGAGAAGGCTTGTTTGTTCGAATGCTTGATCCATGAATTCCCTTCTCTTCTGGGTTGGGTCCAAAATTATAAGGCTAAAAAGTTGAACAGTGATAGCCGTAAACTCAGAGTCAGGTAGGCTGTTCAACGCTAGTTAGGAAATAAAAAGAATATGCTTGAAGGTAATTCCAACGCTGTATTGCTTTGATTCTTAGAAATATGTAAAAATTTAGTATTTTTCATAAATTTTAATATTATTCATAGCTGAGAGAAATCTTGCCCAATGGGCCTTTCTTTTAGAAGTTTAATGGTTCTATTAATGAAAATAAAACAATTCGCTTATTTTATCAAGCAGAGATATTTTTAAACGAGTAAAAAACGAGTAAACAAAAACTAAAAAAGAACAAGGTTCACTAAACCATCTCGGGGTCTCATAACCTGTGTTTATCTGAAAAAACGCTATTTTCTAAAGGAGCATTATTTTTTAAAAATAATATGAAAAGAAAATGTTATAGTATGTTGTCTCACATTCCAATCAATTTATGCATCCTAATTTCATTTTTAATATAGATCAACAAAGCAGATATACTTTAAATACTTTTTCAAATTAAACTATTTCTAGAGGAGAACTCAAACAAAGTATTATTTAACATATACATTAAAAAATAAACATTTATATTCGGAATTATTATTAGTTCAAAATAATTACCTTTCTGTATTCCAAGTGCGTGTTTCTGTATCAAAATATCCCCATCCGGCAGCATTTTGCGCAGACATGATTGGACGTTCTAATCCAGATATCATGGTTACCACAAGATCTTGAACTGTTCCAGCGGCATCGTACTGCTCTATTAAATCTGGTTTATTTTTGACTAACCAAAGTATTGTCGCACATGCGTGTCCTGTACTTAGACGCAAGTGAGAATCAGGCTTTGGTAGCGAAGCTAAAAATTCAGGTGAACAACGGCCATCCTGCCACGTATATAGAGCACTTACCACCTCAGTCTCATACCTAAAGGGGAAAAAATATATTTATTAATTAATCAATTTAAATGGTAATCAACATTATTCAAATTCTTTCCCATTTTTATTATCAATTGATTATTTAAAAAATTTTGGCATAAAACCATTACATTCTATGCATTTTTTTAAAGCTAGTTATCGTGCAAAAGTTGTTCTCATCTATCTTCATCGAACTCAACACTCTCAGATATAAAATTCTCACTTATGATGATTCAGCAATCCTCGAGCTGTATTTCGTTAATTTTGAGTATCGTTTCGTTGAGAAATCACGTGATATGCGACGAAACGCTAAGTGTCATATATATGTGACGAAAACGTTTCCTCAATTCGGAACCTCATTGCAGTTCAGTGTGGGAAATTGTTAAGTAGACTGACAAAGCTAGAATTACGACTAAACGATCGAAAATAAAGAGACGAAACAAGCCGATCATGGTGATCAAGGAGTTGGCCTCGTTTCAGGAAAATCCCGGGTTCGAATCGGGCATGAGTGGGATTTATATCCTTGTTCTATCTGTCCTTCTTGAGATTTTTGGATGACATTGATTCACCAATATGGTGCACATGAAAAAGTTAATATTAGAAGAATTTTATACATTAGGTGCTATACTTTTTTGTTCAGAAAAAACAGAATGACGAAATATTTCTTTAATTTTGACGAAATTCGAAGAAGTAAGGGGCCGTTCAAAAAGTACGTACATCCCGAAGGGGGGGGAGGGGATTTGCTATTATGTGCGGTTTTGTACGATGGGGAGGGGGGAGGTATTATACAAAGTACGTATTTTATAAACATACACCAAATTTAAATTTGACTTTATCCTACACCCTCCTTAAGTAAATATTTAATTTTATTTAAAACATAATTATTTTAATTTTTATGAAAAAGGGGGGTAGACTAATAAAATGTACGTACTCTAAGGGGGGGGGGAGTAAGACCTTATGTACGGTAATGTACGAAGGGGGGGGAGGGGTTTAAAATTTCTCCATTTTTGTGTACGTACTTTTTGAACGGCCCCTAACGAAGTTCCTCGAAGAAGTAACGATAGTTATTTCGTCATGTAGACGAAATTTTTGCTTGAAGCATATACCAAGAAACGGTTTCGTCAAAAACGAGAAAAGCTTCATAAAACTTGAGCATCCATTTTTTTTTTTTTTCGATGAGAACGATGTACATCTTTGAGGCCAAAATTAACCGAAATTAAAAACCGATTACGAACGGTTCTGAAGGAACCGTTCACTATGGCACGCTATGGCACTCTCTCCATATACAACATAAATGTTGTGAAACAATTTTGCGGCCTGAAAACCTTAAATAAAAGCAAAAAGAAAGAGGAGACGAAAATGCTCCTTTTTCTTAATTTGACATTCCCGTTTTTGATGGGCTGAAAATTACCATAAATTAAGTCGGGGAAAAGAAACATTGATTCCAGTAGAACAAAACATATACTCTTTAAAATTATCTGAAATATCATACCAAAAACGTTTCATATCAAGAGGAATGTTAAAAAAAATGAATAATGGATACATCTTAGTTGCTAACCTAATAAAATAACTATTTTAATAGACACAAACACATCAAATGGCATAGATGGCTGTCAGAAGTTCAAAGTTTTTACTGTAAATGAAGTTCCTAGAATGAAGTTCTTCATTAACAGTAATGGAAACAAATATAACAAAGTAACTAAATTATCTCTATATATAAAAATTATTGTCTGTCTGTGTGTCCATTATAGACTCCTAAATCATCGGACAGAAAGAGATGAAATTTGTCATACAGATAGTTCGATGCAAGAGCGAAAAACGAAATAGACTTTTCTGATAGGTTAAGCGAAACCGTTGTTTAAATTTAACTATAGCCCAATTAATTTTTCAAAAATTTTAAAGATAATATCATTAATATTGGTTGGCTTACAGTTTAATTTGATAAAAAAAAACGGTTATTGCACGCGTTTTATTTAATTACTTTATTCGCTATATCAGATAAATTCAATGAACAACATTAACGTGGTAGCATTCCTGAACTACGTCGCCAAATTAATATTCCTAAAGTTATTTGATAACACGAGTTTATTTTGTTTATAGTTATTCTTCTAAAATGTGTTTCTATAAAATCAAAAAATTTAAAATCGAAATTAGTTCGATTGTAAAAAATTAATTATAAGTTTAAAAGCAAAATCGATAGAAAAGTGGTACTAATTCGCTTAGGAGAAAAGTAAAAAATCGCCAAACGGTTCTTAACTAATTCAAGTGATATATGATTATTGAAATAAAAGAAATAAGCTATGTACTAAAAACCAAAATCAATGAAGTAAAGGTACTCAGAGGAACTTGTTTTAGAGGAACCATAAAAAATTGTCATATTATTATTGACAAGAATGAAGCTTGATTAATGTTGTTAATATGTATTAATAGAAATAAAAAATAACCTATCTATAAAAAGCAAAGCTAATGGAGTAAATATTCCTATTCGTTTTGGGGATATTATTATTCGCCACATTTTTATTGATAGCGATACTTAATTTATACTGGTAAGATGTATTAATTGAAATAAAAATAAGCTACGTGCTAAAAAGCTAAGTTAATGGAGATAAGGTTAATGGAAAATATGTTTAGGGAAACAGCAGAAAATCGCCATTCGCAGATAACGCTTAATTAATTTTTTAATGAGTACTACTGCTATTATGGCAATTGGTGCAGCTTTAATGTCGTTTCAGAAAATATTTTTCCAGTGGTAGCGAAGATAATTTAATGAATACTTTAATGAATGAGGAATTAAAAGAACTTTTTTTCACCACTTCTTTTAAATATTTTGAACAGTAAATTAAAGGTCTGATTATGAAATTCCCTTGTTTCTAAATCCTCACAAAGATCTAGAAGAAATCTTGTTCTTAAAATTTCGCCTTTTGTTTGTTGCCACTAATAAATGCATTTCGCATAAAACTCAAGTTTCGCAATAAATACCAAACAAACTGGCATAGGTATAAAGTATAACATTGATACATTTGGCAATTTTAAAAACTGCATCAATAAAAATTTTTAATACAGATAATATGGAGATAGCCTTACGGCCCTTTGAAAAAGGTAGGCACCGGACAAAATTTCTTGGTAAATTTTGACTATCATGAGTTGGCCGAGAGCAATACTGTCACGACAAGCGAGGCTAAATGCAATTAATCTTTATTCTGATGGGATGAACTACAAAAAACGTGTTTTGTTTAATATAGTAACGTAAAGTCACCGAGAAGGGCAACAAGTAATAATAAATAAATAAAAATTGTTTTAGCTTTCTTGGTGGAAAAACCAGGTAACTGACATTTTAAGAGAGACTATAATCATAATAAGAAGGGGAAAAAATGATCTCCGATATTACCCATTTATTAGAAGGCGGGGCTATTAATCCTTTGTCTTATTTACCACTGCCTAAATTGAAAATAAAAATCATCCTAGCATACTAAACACTAGCGTGAATTACGTATGTTAAGATTAAAATGAATGCAGAAACAATTCTGTCACATTAAACATACCCATATTGATGTAACCACTTTATGTTATTTTCGGTGATTCATAAATACCCCTAAAACTGTCACTTACCTGGTTCTTCAGGGTGGCCACTCAAATCAGATTTCAAATTTCCCTGATTTTCCCAGGTTTTCCAGATAAAACTCTTAAAATTTCCAGGTTTTTGTTTCGTTTTTCTTATAAAGTGTAGGATGTGTACAAGAAAAGTGTCTATATTATTAAATATTTTATTCCAAATGTTATTTTTTTAACATATCATCTTGAAAAAAATAATTTAGTTGTANATTGCTGTTAGCGATTGTCCAAAAATGTGCAATTGGTTGGTTTGCTGAGAAAAAATAATTTACAGATTTCTTTGAATGGGAGTAGAAAAGCTTTCAGAAAAAGAGTGCAATATAAAATATATTATTATTAAATTATAACCAACTAATTTTTGTAGAATTTTATAAAGTTAAAAATACAAAAACATTCTGTCAAAATAGGAAGAAAAAAATTACCACCAAAGCATCGGAACAAACTGGAGCCTTAAATGGATTTAGCCCAAGGACAGAATTTAAAAACAGAAGCTAATATCCTAATCCCTTTTTCCACCTCCACCAAAATCTTTCCTAAATTGCACAGTTCCACAGCTGTCAAAGGTTTCTACATTCATTTAGCAGCCGTGAGAGAATTTTATGTGGCATTCTAGTTTAACAGAGCTGTAATGGAGCAAGTTTTGTTGCAAGCAAAGTATCGCTGAGTTTATGATATTTCAACTGTTTGGCGATACATTTCCGTTTAAAAAAGTGGGTATAATTGAATGAAATAATTTAAATTAAGAAAATTAGTAAATAATTTAAAATAGTGAAATTTAAAAAAATTATCAGAGAAAAAATTTCCAGCTTTTCTTTAAAATTCCCTGATTTTTCCAGATTTTTATCCAAATTTCCCTGATATTTCCAGGTTTTTTCCAGCATAAAAAAATTCCCTGATAATTCCAGGTTTTCCAGGTGGGTGGCCACCCTGTTCTTCCACCAAGCTCTTCCATTGTGTCGGTATATGACTTTCAATTTCGTACATGATTTCGTAGTGTTGTTGAGTACTGATTAATGGATTTTTTTTATTCACCTCTTACGAAAAACGGTTATTCAGCTAGTCATAATAAAATTTTAAAAACAATTTTATTTTATTAACGGCGAGAATCATAATCATAAAATAATGGGTTATTCGTCAGACAATCATAATACAGTTAATTGGTTTCCATACTTAAACACGCCTCAATCTTTATCACAATAAAAACCATTGTTCCTTTGAATTATCTTATTTCAATCTTTATAAGTAAGGAAGATCACTTTAGACACGTATTAGGAAAAAAATCGACTTTTATGAGAGTACTTGAGTTTTTTTTTTCTTTTTTTCATCCCTTTCATTTCCTTCCTATTCCTTTCTTTTCTTTTTTCTATTACTTTTTCTTCTTCTTTTCTTTTCTTTTTT